TAAATCAAAAATATGCTATTACAAAAAGAAGCCGCAATGTGATGGGGTTGATGCCCATAAAACTAATGGAAGTGAAAACGATGAAGAGAGGAAAGAAATAATCGAAAAATTAGAAACTTACCGTTCAATCCTTAAACTGAGTGAAGCAAAAATAAAAGAATTTAATAGAATAAATAAATTGATTGGAAGAGATGAATTTTTAAACTCAATCCAAATTTAATTTTTATTTTTCTTTGACAACATCTCTCTTTCCATCATTACTGCATAACCCCATTTTCTCAGTTTTAGTGGTTTGTTATTTTTAACATGTTCTTGCATCATTTTTATCATTTCTTCCCTTGTTATAATTCGTGGTAAATTTTGAGCTTGTGGGGTATTCATTTATATAAAAATAAAATTTTGTTATCAGTTATTTTATCGTTAATGGTTTTCAGGTTATTCAATAATTAATTATTTTTGAAGAACTGAAGGTGTCACCATGTCACCATGTCACCAGGTAATTTAACTTCTCTGAAAAAATGAGACAACATGACATTTAGACAACAACACAGGAGGATGGCAGTTATGAATTATTTTTGAAGAACTGAAGGTGTCACCATGTCACCATGTCACCAGGTAATTTAACTTCTCTGAAAAAATGAGACAACATGACATTTAGACAACAACACAGGAGGATGGCAGTTATGAATTATTTTTGAAGAACTGAAGGTGTCACCATGTCACCATGTCACCAGGTAATTTAACTTCTCTGAAAAAATGAGACAACATGACATTTAGACAACAACACAGAAAATATGATGCAGTCCAAAAATAAAGTTAGTTTTAAAATTATTTTTATTTTTTTATTCCTATATAAATGACGGCAACAAACAACAACAGTAACTTTATCATTTCTGATGAACAAGTTATTGATTCATTAGCTGAGGAATTAGTTGTGGCAGAAACTAAAACCCTCAACGAAAGAATTGGTGAAAACAAGATTGATTTACATAACTACCTCAAACATGATGGAGGAAGAGGAAGGAAAACTGGTATGGCTTTATTAGTAAATAAAATTTCAAATTTAACGATTATAGATGTTGATATCAATAAATCGTACAATGATGAACTTAAAGAAACAGTTAGAAAAGACATTTTATCAAAACTTTCGGATAAAGATGTTATCGTTAAAACCGCTTCAGGAGGTCTTCACATTTATTGCAACACTAATTTCTTCTATGCAGTTTCGAACAGAATGATTAAATGTTATTCCTGCAATGATTATGATATTGACATAATGACTTCTATGGATGATTCAAAACGTTCTTTAGTGGTTATGGCCGATTCAAGAGTTCGCAAGAATGCATCAGAACCAATCAATACATACTCATTCATTCGTGGAAGTTATGATTCAACATTAACTAGAACAGTGAATGATATATTAAATGATTTGAATATTAAGGTAAGAGTTGAACAGAAGAACGAAGAGATAAAGACTATCATGAATGAAAACAAAGATGTAAACATTGACGATAAACTTGCCCAGAGCATAGTTGATGGCATCTGTGATTTTGAAGTACATAATGACGGTGGAAACATGAATTTAGAAAAAGAAATAACATTGTTCACACTGTTTCAAGCTATTAATTCGTTACCTAATCATTTGATTAATGAAGCATACGATAACGTTTATAACTTTTGCAGTTTAACTGAAAATGCAAAAAGTAATTTTGAAAAAGCACGTAGTAGATATGCACATTTAATGACTTCTTCATTTGTTTTGGTAAAGATTCTAAAACTATATCAAAAGGAATATTATGATGAATATGTTTTACCTTTATTACGTAAGCCAAAAATAACATTTGATATCAACTTGATGACTCGTTTTGATAACAGATATTAGACGTAAAGCTGAAAATCATCAGTATAAAAACAGTTCTGAAGTAATTGAGGATTTATCACGTGTAATCCGTTTTGTAGATTGTGGAAATAAATATTTCATTCAGAAAGATTACAACATACACGACAAAATGAATCAAATATCATTCGTTCTTCAGTCAAACATGAAAGAGTCACTCAAAATGATTAAATTATTTAAAGAAGAAGGTAAAACAATAACAGCATGGGACGTACTACTAAATCAATTGTCTTCATTAACCGTTAGGGGTGTTTGCTTTAAATCTGATTCCCCAGATGTTTTCTCAACGTTTCAAGGTTATAAATACAACGTTCTCGAAAAACCAGATTACTCAAAAATTTGGATGTTTATGGATTTCATTAAAGAAGCCATATGCGATAATAACGATGAAGTGTATAAATACCTTCTCGGCTGGATTGCATCAATGATTCAACATCCTGGAATCAAGAATGAAACAGCAATTATTTTGAAAGGACTTCAGGGAACAGGTAAAAACAGATTCACAGACATTATTTCTGAACTCCTCGCCGGTTATTCATGTAAAAACATTACTGAAATAGGTGAGCTAACGGGTAATTTCAATTCAGTAGTTGAGAATAAAATGTTTCTTGTACTTAATGAACTCAAGAATGTAGGTGAAGACAGACTCGCAAACTTCAACGCTTTGAAATCAATTATAACGGATAATGAGATAAGAATTAATGAAAAGAATCAACCCAGAAGAACTGCTCAGAATGTTGCAAACTTCATTTTCGTAACTAATAACGTCTACCCTGTCAAAATTGAAGTTGGAGACAGAAGATACGTAGTTTTAAGAGTTAATGGTAAATTCAAGGGTCAATTTGATTACTTCAAGAATTTGATGGATTCATGCACAAAGGAATTTTATGATAACCTTTTAACATATTTTATCAATTACGACCTTTCATCATTTAATGTACGAATCATACCGATGACTGAAGCCAAACAAGATTTAATTGAATTATCAACAAATCCTTTAGATGTATGGATAAATACACATTATGATGAATTGTGTGCAGGTATGATATGTAAAAATGCTCTATTCTGCAAACCATCAGACATGAAAGACAAGAATTTCCAAATGAGCATTAAGGATAAATGTGATAGGAAACAGAGAAGAATAGACGATAAACAAACATGGTGTTATGTTTTGAAAGAAGAAATGAAAGGATTATATAAACAGGTTGAACCAAACGATAATGAGGATTCATTTACTGACGATGAAATACCTGTAAATGATGCTTTATAAAGTATGATTGGAATTTATTTTTGCATTAATCCTCCTGTGTTGTTGTCTAAATGTCATGTTGTCTCATTTTTTCAGAGAAGTTAAATTACCTGGTGACATGGTGACATGGTGACACCTTCAGTTCTTCAAAAATAATTCATAACTGCCATCCTCCTGTGTTGTTGTCTAAATGTCATGTTGTCTCATTTTTTCAGAGAAGTTAAATTACCTGGTGACATGGTGACACCTTCAGTTCTTCAAAAATAATTCATAATTGAATAACCTGAAAACCATTAACGATAAAATATATTTTTGGTCGTTTATGACAAAAATAAATGGTTCATTTACTCACAATATTTTTGTACAAAACAACCCCAAACTTTTAACTTCTTTTCTGCAGTTTCTAATGCTATCTTAGCGAGTTCATATTCTCTAAATTCTCTCTTTAAATCTTCTTGTTCCCATTGGTCTAGTTCGTATGGAGAATCTCTATAACCATAACATATCTCACGTTCATGTTCTAATTGTTTTTCATGCATTTTTCTAACTTCTTGTTCGAACAAAGGTTTAGCATTCTCAACTGTATCTTCGAGTTCTTCTTCATCTAATTTCTCATGAACTTTCTTGTCTATGGAGTCCATAATTTTTCCAACTGCTATGCAATATTTTGGAGAAGCCCACATTGCTATATAGTTTATAAGTCTTGGGTCTACATACGTTCCTCTAACCTGTTTGATTTCATCAGGAATTCCTGCATGAATTTTGTATAAAAAGCAACCGCCGGAATTCGGACTGTTGCTATATTCTTCACAAAATGCCTTATAATACTTCCCAGGACTTATTTTCCAACAACTTTCTAAAGTCTTTCCTAAACTGCTGACACATCTTTGTTGCATTAATGTAACCATCCTTGTCTCTACGTAATACTTCAATACCATTATAAGTGCCTTTTGTGAATGTTTCACCATTAGATTTGTTCGTGAATGTTTTTGCTTCGACTGACATTTCTGTTCTTACATACAAAATAAAAAAATAAAAATTTAAATTATGCCGTTCACTCTTTTGGAGCTCAGGACTTTCACAAACATTGAGCGTTCAATGAATGCGGTACCATGCGAATACAGTCATAAATGGTGGCATGTATTCTTTACTTTGTCCCGTTGTTTGTGTATATCCTGAAACGAAATGTGTATGGTTTCCTTCTCCCTGAGTGTCACTCCAGTAACAATTTATAGCAAACTTAACGTCGTCTTTAACATCATATCCTTTACCTTTTGTCATTCCTGACCAATCCCAATATCTATGCTTATGCCAACCTGCTTGAGATGTACTTAAATCTATGTAGTGACTGTGTGCAGGTAAATTTTCACCTGAAATCGTTTTACTTCCCCCTGTTTCCTTTGAAGAGTTTGCACAATACAAAAACCTGTCGACTATTTGTTCCATGCACCAACACCAAACATTACTTGAGGACCTCTTGCATCCATAGATGTATAAATAGAACCTACTGGGTTCATTAAATTAAACATATGAGATATTATAGGATTGTCTCTTTTGAACTTAAAATATAGTGCAACTATTTCTGGTTTCTTCTGGTTTGTGTCAGAATATTTTTTATAATATAATCTTATGTTTTCAGGGTAGGTAAAATCTTGATTATAATATTTATTTCTGTCATCTGTATAATAATATACTATTCTCGTTTTTTCTATTGCATTATATCTTTTATATCTATAATAATCTAAATATAATGTTAGCTTTTGTTCATCTACGCGTGGTGTTCTGTCGTCATCTCCATAGTCATAATAATATGGTGCTGGAGCTGGGTCAGGCAATGTCATATCTGCCATTTCATTAAACTCTTAAATATTTCTTTTGTTCGTCTCCATATAAGTTTAAGTAGCAGTTGTTGTCTAATGGAACTTTAACTTGTGTACCATCATTCTTTTTATAGCTTACATACATTTCATTGTTATTTTTCGGAATGAGTTTACACTGTGTACCATTTTTTAAGGAGTGTACAAACTGCCATCTAAAATATTTATTTTCTTCATTGACAGAAAAGTCACCAACAATAGTTTCAATATTTTTTGTTCCTATCAAACTTTGGTATATTTCGTTAACATATGTTTTATCCGCCTTCTTATTTAACTCACTATCCACATATTCCTTATCCGCTTTAAGGTCTAAACATCCTGAAACCCATCCTGTATCGGCTTTAGTTTTTAAAATCTTTGATGTCCATTCATGATACCATTCAACACTTTCTTTAATTTCATTATCTTTTTCATCCACATAAACCAAATTTGCCTTCTTATTTAACTCACTATCCACATATTCCTTATCCACCTTCTTCATTATGTCATTTAGGAAACCTTCTATGAATTCCTCATTTAAATTAAATCTTCCAATCTTCAAAACTTTAGGAAATGCATTTAATGCGTAATATCTCTGTTCTTCTGGTGGAATTGATGTTATATCATCCGTTATTCCTTTAATTTTTGAATTCATAAATAAAATTTCTTTTATATTTGATATCACTGCACCACCTTTGCAAACGAATTCGAAACGGTCATTTTTCAATACTATCTCCAAATCTCCATATTTCAACATTTGCGTTTGTTCTGCCGTCTTCGAATTATATGCATATATGGCGTATGTAATGGTCTGAAGGACCTGGGTGCTTTGTGCCTTAAGTTGTTGTGGTTGCTGTTGTTTAATCATTTATTATGATTTAAAAATAAATATTTAATCCGTTATCTCATCAGCTATTTTTTCTATTTGAAATTGCCATAATATTTCATTCATGAATTTTAAATCACAATCAAATAGGTCAGTTATTCTAAATTTAATATTTGATAAATCTTTTGAATGAAGAATAAATGAATTCCCGGATAATTGAAACGGATATGATAAAGAAAATGTGTTTAAGTTGATGGATAAAATGTTTTGTATTGATGGGTAAGAGTTAGGGTCTAATGTTTGATGTGAAAATCTCATTGGGGTATTAACTTTATCACATTTGATTAAAATGAAATTGGAACCAGTGTCAGAATACAAAACATCCCCAACATCTTTTTCAAAATTTAATATCCCCAACAATGAACGAAGATGAGGAGTACAAAATTTAATTTTCAGCGGAAATTTAATAAGGTTATTTATTTCATCAAGTTCAAAAAGTTTATCAGGTTTTGATTTAAAATTTTCTTCATACCATACGATAAATGATTCATTTAAATAACTTAAAATCATGTTAATATCCCATTTCGTTATCACATTATTTATATACATATCATACGTTTTTTCATGGTCATCTTTAATAAATGATATATAATCTGAAGGGTCTAAAAGAATGGGATTAAATTTACCACTCACAGAAACGAGAGTAACATTATAAATTCTGCTAACTGTTAAATTTAATTCACAGTTATTATTCGAAATAATATTGATAATTGACATTTTTATTACGATTAAAAATATGGTAAAGCGTTATTTTCCAGTGATAAATAAAACTAGAATAAGATTACCTCAAGAATTCATAAATTCAACGAATAAGAAATTCATTCATGTTATAAATTTTAGTGTTTTCAGAAAATATGAGTCAATGTCATATTCATCAACAGGTTATATTTCACTTCATTCAAATTTAGTTCAATCAAACCCATATAATGACCATTTCATAAGATTTTCAGATGGTATTAAAAATGTAATTGATAGATTAAAATATGAACAGATTGACAATATCGAATTTTTGGAATTTTGGTTTAAATATCCTGATGGAAAAAAGATTGAAGTTAAAGATAAAGCTGATACTATAACAAAAACAATTACAATGACCGATCCGGATAGTGGGGAACAAAAAAGAAATAAAACAAACGATAGAAACTGGTGAAAGGTCAATTATTATCGATTATGATTCAAAGGATTATTATTCGATAATGTTAATGCTTGAATATTAAATAGCCTTAACAAAGAATTTTTCAAGTGATATTTTATATTCATCAACTATTTTATTATAAATATCATTATATGTTAAATGAAGTTCAGTTGTTGTTCCGTTCTTTGATATCTTAATTGTGCTAATATCCTTTATAGGATTTATTTTTGCAACTGTTCCGCAGCATGAAACCTCATCATCTATGAAAAATTGAATCTTAACGTCTGAATCTTGAACATCACAAAGAATGGCGATAATGTGAATTAATGATTCATAAGGTAAAATAATTAAACCGGATTGGTCAATTAAATTTATTATTGAATCATAATTATTAATTATTATATCACGGTAAATTTTCATTAATTCAGAATTAATGTCTATTTTATATGGGTTCTCGATGTTTGATGAAAGAGGCGGGGGTATGTTGGATAAGTGGGAATTTCAACGGGTTCTTTACCGGGTTCAGATAAAATGACTGGGTCTCCATTCTCATGGTTTTCTTCATTCTCCTCATTCTTCGGTAAGTCACGAGTTAATAAATTTGATTGAGTTGCTGACCTTGTTAATTCGGGGCTAACATTAACTTTAACATTTTGAATAATTCGTGATTTATCATCATTTACGTTATAACCAACCGTAATCTCTGCTTTTGCGTTAGTGTTCTTTTGACTAGTGAAACGTCTTCTCATTTATATTCGAATAAAAAAAATATATTTAAACTTTTATTTTGCTGGAACTTTTATTTTGCTGGAACTTTTGAATCTATTATTCCCTGTATTTGTTCATGAAGTTGATTTTTAGCATTTTCATCGAAATTAATAGACCGAATATATTCATTAATTGCATTCTTATAATCATTTGATTTCTCAAATTTTCTTTTATCTGATTCCTTAACTAAATCATAAGTTAAACCTCGTTGCTGATATAATGGTTTCTTAATTAAATCTTTGAATGCTTGAGATAAAGCACCTGATGCAATTCTTGCTACTATAATTGGTTGGAATTGCTGTTTAAGTTCATCTTTAACATTTGCGAAAACTGGATCGAATAAAGCAACTTTAAAGAATTTCTTAGCTGAAATTTCAGGTCTAATATTTGCATATTGACCATCAAACTGGTTAGAATATCGTGGTAATCCATCCGGTCCCTCTTGAATAGCATTTAATTCTTCATTGAAATAAGAATATGGATTATGACGGTATGAATTAATTGGACCATTTTCACCTTCTCCAATGTATTGTTTAACAGCTTTTCCATTTTCATCAAATTGCATAGGATAACGTTCATTATATGCTTTACGTTTAGGATAATCAGATATAGTTAATTTATAACCATTTATGACTTTAATATTTCCTTGACCATCAGTAACGAAAACTTCATTTATACCATCAGGTTTTCATTTGACTGTAATGTCTGCTTCGTGTGCTTCCCAATTTGGACCATGACGTTTGGCATATGCTTGAGCTTCTGGTAATGTTAAAACGTTTCTCATTTGTTTAACATCTTTTGAAGACCAGCAACAATATGAACTAATTCTTTCATTCCATCAGGAACTTTCATAGTTCTATTATATGCACCCCTTTTGTTTGTCCCTTGTTTTAATGGAACCTGTAGAAGATTTGCTATTTCTGTCATGTTTAATTATAAATAAAAAATAAAAATTAATTATAAAAAGTTAATCAAATTTAACACTTCCTTTATTTAAATCAACTATTATTTTTCCATGTTCACCTAATTGCTGATATTGTGTGTAAAGTTCATTAATGCTCATTGGTAGATTCACTTGATAAAGCATAACGTTCAACTGTTGACGACTAAACCCACTGAAAATGAAAAGGGTTGATAGATTTGATTTAATGTTTGTGCTTAATGCTTTGAAGTATTGAACAGCCATGAAGAATGAACACTGAATGTGTCGACATTGAGTTAATAACTGATTAAAATATGATTTCTCATTTGTTATTAGTTTTGATTTCACCGCATCATCTAGAAAAATGAGTGAATGCAAAAATTCTCTATCAAAATTTGAAATAGAAAGTGTTTCAAATAATTCATCCCGTTGTTTATCAATAATTTTATCCTCTAATCCTTGCTTCTTGATTGTATTATATAATTCTTTATACATTAAAAAGTTTTTTAAATAATCTTCTGCTTCTTCTTGTGATAAATAAATAATTGGAATTTTGATTAAATGCTTTAAAGATTCAAATGTATCATCTGAAGGTGAACCTGAACGGTTGATATAAATTAACACGTGTGAATAGGGGAAGTGTTAGCAATAATGATAATTTGTTTTAATATCGTTAATGTTTTACCTTTATTTTGTTTACCAATTGCTGCAGTGATTGAATTTAAGTAACATTCAGAATATGGAATTTTCATTAATTTTTCCTTAGATAGAGCATTTCTATTATCACTCAATGCTTCATTATCAATCTACGTATGTATTATATACTCCTGCTAATTCTTCATAAGGGGTGGATGAATTTAAATCCATTTAATCAAAAATAAATTTATAATTTTAAACATTTCTATTCATCAATATTTCATCATATGAACTTCTATACTGTGGTGGTGTACCTGTTGGATGATATTTCAAACCTTCGTCCGGTGTCCATGTCCAATATGTAGTCCTAGTAAACCAAACCTGAGGAGGATTTGTCACCTTTGAACAGTAAGTGTCATTTACACCCTGAATGATTGGATAAGCTTTCACTTGTACTGTAACTTGTGAGTTGAAAGTTTCTAATCCATCAAAGAATATACCCGCTCCATCACGTTGAACTGGAATAGTGCATAAGAATGAAGTTTGGTCTTTCCATGTTCTAGCTAATGGCGTGCCATTATCATCATTCAGTGGTCTAGTTAATGAGTCCTCGTATTCTTCTGTGCATTCATTCACTCCATCTAAATCAGAAGCTTGAAGCATACGTGTAAAGAATATGTCGCCCACTGTGGTCATCGCTTGATCGGGGAAGTTTCTGGAATCTATAGTGACCTGAAGACCTCGAAGCATTGGATTTTCTAAAACTGTTCTTTGCATTGCATTCTTCGGAAATGTTAACACAACATCTGTAACATTATGAAGAGCGTATGAGAAATCTGAGCTAATACCTTCAGGAGTGATGCAACCTCCATTTAGTGAACGAACGTCAATATGTTGAGCTGGAATCATGAATGGATCTTCCTTACTGAATAAACGTGGTATTGCTTTAACTGATTCTTCAATTAAACCGTATCCTGGTGTAATGCATTTATCCTCTAAAACTTCCATCTTTGTGCATGAAATAATAACGTCTTCAACTGTTGCGTCAGCAGATGTAGCGGCTAAGCTTGTAATTAATTTGGTAGGAAGTCCGATTTGTTGGAATTTGCGATCATATTTATAAACATGATTCATAATCTTTTCATAATTTTCATCAGTTATCTTTTCATAAACGTAATTTTGTAAATCAGCAACTCTTAACGGGTCAACCTGACAAAATACTAAAGTATCCCTGAAAACATAATATTTAAGAATGATTTCACCAAATGATTTAGGATAATCATCGAACGCCTGAAATGCTAACAAATCATTTACCGGAATAATCATATCAAAAGTGACATCAACTTCTTCATTTGCTTTCTTGAAAACTTCTGAAGGGTCAATATATTTACCACATACTGAGTTATCATATTTTTGAACATTATTATATAACGAATGAACAAACTTTTTAACTTTCCTTTCTGATTTTGGTTTATATGTTGCAAATGCAAAAGATTCACGGGCACAATCCATTTGAAGATA